CATATTTATAAGGGTTGCAGTGTCCCAGAGTCATATGATCATCTTCTGGGATCTTCTGATTATACAAAGGCAATGGGGAAGCCAGATTCACTTAACAACCATGTTACCAACTTAATAACTGCAGAGATTCATTTAACAACTTAACAAGCAGCAAGAAAGATCATAAAATGGGTCAAAATTCAGTTGCTTAATAACAGAAACTTGTCTTGCTTAGCAACAGAAATTTTGGGCTCAATTGTTGTAAGTCACGGACAGAGGTGGTATTCTGCCAGTTCAGTCTGGTTTGCCCAAACTGGTAGTGGAAATCACGGGTGGACCTGCCTACCCGTCCATCACCCTGGCTCTATCCCATCCCATTTAGGCACTTTTTTTTTAGCTAAAGTGCATGTGTGGAAGGCTGAGCACATGCATGGATGGGGCGCGTACACTCACATTTGCGAACCAGTAGGGAAGGTACTGTATTTTTCGGAGTATAAGACGCACCGGAGTATAGGACGCACCAAGATTTTGAAGAGGCAAATTTTTAAAAAAAGTTTTTGCACTCTGCAGACCTCCCCAAAACAGCCTGTTTTTTGCAAAAATGGCCCATTTTTTTTTTAAGGGCATGAATAGGCTTTAGGAGGCTTGTAGAGTGCTCCTGGGGGCTGGAGGGGCAAAATTGAGCCAAAAATGGCCTGTTTTTCGCTCATTTCTGCCCTCCCCAGCACCCAGGAGCACTCTGAAAGCCTTCTAAAGGCTATGCACAGCCATTTTGGTGAAGGGGGCAGGGTTTCGGGAGGCAAAAAAATGCTGTATTCATTGTATAAGACGCACCCAGATTTTCAGCTTCTTTTTTGAGGGAAAAAGGTGCATCTTATACTCGGAAAAATGCGGTGAATACCACTCCTGGACGGACTACCTATTCTTTGATTTCAGTTATCACTTTTTCTGTCTCTTTTTGTTTGGAGAACAAGCACACAGCATTAAGTCAGTTTTTATGCATGCTGAATTCTATTAACAGTGAAAACATTGTTATTATCTGAAGACGTCTGCTCAGAATAAAATTGTTTTTGTTAAATGAGAAGTCTTTGCAAATGAGTGTACCTAGGATTCCTGCTGTTGTAATTCAGATATTTGTATACCAATTAATTATAAATAAAAATCTAGTTGTTCAAATGGGCGTAATGCTTTCTTACTCGTTTTATGATATGAAATAGTAGATCGTAGAATACATGACTAGAATGCCGTAAAGTATTTATAAATAATTGGAACACAAATGTAAGGATAATATATAGCTGTATTTGCATATGCATACATAAACATATGCTAAGCTCTTTTTTCAAGTGGATAATCTTGCATATTAAAATGAAATGGCAAAACTATGCTTGCGGTTTCCCAGAAAAAGATCAATGTGTCAATTATTTTCAGATTTATTTCTGTTGCATATTTTTGGCTTGATGCCACTGATCAGCCAAAAACAATAACAACACATGCACACACAAATTAAAACAGGAACTCACATTTCAATAGGATTATAAAAAATGGCATAAATTTAAATTAAAAGCAAATGTGTAACGTAAAAGCTAATCCGATTTCGTTGACATATAAGATATGAGCAGGCTGAGCCTGAGGATGGGGTCAAATGCATCATCAGTTTGGAATCACTATGCTCCCAAGGGCAATCTAAATCCAACCCCCTGTGAATTCTGTTGATTCTTATCTAGCGCCAATGTGCCCTGACCATTAGTAGATCAGATTCTTGTGTATAATATAGCTTGTAATAAACTCATAGTACTTTTGAACTCTATCCTGGCTCCTGATTTCTTGCACCTGACATTAATCACACATTTGACCCCCTGCCCTCTGGTTCAATCTGGTCATCTCCTACATGAACAGATAAAACATAAAAGCCCTTTTCAATATGCATATTATATATGCTTGCTATAGTATATAGATCATTCAGTATTTTCCCTCTATGGCTGAAAAATCAGCCTTAATAAGTGGGATTTCCAATAAAATGCTATAATAGGAATTTTTTGTTCAGCTTTTCTGCATCAAGTTTAATTTAACACCCACCTGGCTGACAGAGCATGTTCAGCCTCATTAAGTTGCTTTTGATATTTGGATTTCTGCTATTCTAGTGAATGGGGCTCTTTTTTGTCTTTTTGTCTGAAAATTTTTTTGAGGATATAATATGTGTCCTCAATGTATGTATGTATGTATGCATGCAAGCATGCATGTATGTATGTATGTATGTCAGAGTTTGTTGCATAAATTCAAATCTAGAAGCACACACAGGTAACTGATAAAGCAGGATTCATTAACTTCTTTATATACTTAAGAATAGATGAATAAATGTACAATACCAACAGGTGGTTCTTCCAAGTAAACACAAGGCAGGAAAGTTATAGGCAAATACAAGCGGTTAGTTTCATATCAGCAGACAAGCCCAGGAAGACTGTAGTTTACTTCTCAGGGCAGCAGACAGTTTCTGTTTCAATTCTCTGCACAGATTCGGATCTGTTTAAGCTCCCATTGGCTGACTTTGTTGCTATGCCTATTTATTGGCTGACCTTGTTCCCATGTCTCTCCCAGTCATGAATGTTTTAATATAATATTTTGGATACCTGATGCATTTCTTGGGTAAAGTGTAAAAAGGCAGTTTATAAACATTTAAATCAAACGGTTAAGGTATATATCTGCAGGTCTGTGGCTGTCCAGTGGTTCTATTCTAGTTGGTATTTTGCAATGGTGAATTTGGCCTGTAAGCACCAATTTTTTGATAGGGTAGGTATACCTAAGATTCTATTAAGAGTTCACATTTAGGGTGTGTTGTTCTTTTAGATTGGGAATCAATGATGGGATCAGCAATGAGGCAGATGAAAATGAAAAATAAAGGAGAATATTTGTAGCTCAGGGTTGAAATGAGGGGGGCCCTTGGTGCTCTCTGAGCTTGGCTGTTTTCTTGCAGACATTTCATTACTCAAACTGGGCAACATCATCAGTGCTAACCAAGCTCAGAGAGCACCCAGGACCTCTCGAAATGAAAAATGTGGGATTAGTGTCTGCTACTTCCTCAGTTTGAGGATTATAGGACTGCGATTTTTGCCTTTTCATTCAAAGAAGACCAGGGAGGGTAGAAGAATGAGGGATGGTGATGGCACAGCCTGTGGCTACATTTGAAATGAAAGAGGATGATTGAATGCCACACACTTATTAGAAAACAGGATATAATTTAAATGTGAGTGTTTATTCAACCTTACTGTTTGTAGTAACCACTGTGTGAACAAATAACAGTGTGTTGTCTGTCCTTTTGGGAGACCAGCATAGCTGCAACCATTCTTATAAATTGATAAAATTAAGCCAATCCCAGCTTAATTAACTCTAGATGAGGCACACCACACCATTTTCCACCCAGTTTAGCAAGTTCTAAGTGGCCCCTTCTCCTTCCCTAAGGTTGGAAATGGCTTTAAAAAGGATGAGATTTTGAAAAGCGCAGTTGCCACAGTGGCTTTGGACGACTGTGAGTTGGCAAAGGCAAGATTCCCTAAAGAAAGAGATGTGCTGATCCTTTATCATTTGCTATTGGGGCCTATTAAGGCTAGAATGCAGCAGGGGTCTCGTTTTCTGTCAAGTGCACACAAAACTTCAGCTGGAATTTTAAGCCAGCAATCTGGCCCCATTTAGACTTCCAGAGGCCATCGAAGAAAGTACTATCTCATTAAGGTTGGCCTGATTTTTTACCCCTCCTGGTAGGTGGGTAATCATGTTAGAGGAATGTTTAGAGATGCTGTGCAAATACATTCTCCAGGTCGTGTCACGAAAGTGCCAAGTTAGCTGTAACGGCATGTACCCATTGGCGGTTTGTCCCCTGATCTTCCCAACTTCAATCTTCAGTGTGAACCAATGAAGGTAGCATGTGTAGCCCATTATTTCTCCCACAGTAGGCCTGGCATAGGGCCAAGAGCCCTTGCTCATTAGTTCAAGGAGACTTTTCTATCTTTCGCAGCTGCTTTTATACTGCAGGGAACCAACCAGGCAACAGAGTACCATGCGCCAACGAGCAGGTAGTATAAAAGTATTGAATATCTGTGTCTGTAAGAAAGAGTGAGTTATCATGCAGAGGAGATTCATGTTGCTAGAGGGTGAGAATAACTAACCACCGACTCCTGCTGAAAGGTTGAATAGGCAGCCTGAGATCAGGAGAAATCCTGATGTAGGTGAACAGATGTTGAATCTTTGCAGTGGGTCTACCCCTGTGCCAGGCAGAGTCAGGAATATTGGTAAAAATGCAGTTTCTGGATTCTGCATGGCTTGTATAGGTACTCCTCGACTTACAGCAGTTCATTTAGTAACCGTTTGAAGTTATGATGCCACTGCAAAAAGTGACTTATGGTCATTCTTCACACTTACAACCATTGCACTGTGCCTGTGGCCACATGATTAAAATTCAGACACTTGGCAACTGACTCATACTTATGATGGTTGCAGTGTACTGAGGACCTTTTGCATCCTTCTGACAAGCAAAGTCAATGGGGAAGCCAGATTCACTTAACAACCATATTGCTACCTTAGCAACTGCAGTGATTCATTTAACAACTGGCAAAAAGGTGGTAAAATGGGACAGAACTCATTTAATAACTCTTGCTTAGCAACAGAAATTTTGTGTTCAATTGTGATTGTAAATCAAGGACAACCTGTGATCTCTTTTGGAGCTTAATTCCAGATCAAATGAGTTTAATTTTATGCTTAGCTTTGTGCTTGTGATAACTCATTCTTTTTCCAGCATCTTCAGTGCATGTTCTTATCACATCCAGCTGCTCTCCGTAGAAGAAGCCTGTATACCTCTGGGATTTGAGTAAGGGCATCGAAGTAACAGATGTAGCCATTTGTGTCAGCATGTCTTTTTAGAAATAAAGCAAAGGAGGGTGTATGTGTGTGTGTGTACAAACACAAACATAGGCTACTTTCCTTAGGTGCCTTTAATAGGTTGCATTAAAGGTACCATTCGCAAACACTGAATGAATCACTTTGGTGCCAACTTGGAAAAGTTCCTAGGAGATATGGAAAGAATAATTGTGCTGGAGTGGTATCACTTGGAGAAAGGAAGAGGTGGGTCTGTTGACAGCATAATGAGGAATTGATTCCTGGTTATATAAAAGGACCATTACTGCACAGCCGTTTCCTAGCTGCTGAGGAATTTTGTTAAGATAGCAAAGCTCTCAAAACCTGTGTTCAGCATTTTTTTTAAACAAAGTACTTTGCTTAAAGTGGACTAGCTGCCAATAGGCAAGCTTTTGTCAATAAAGATATGACTAAAGCACACATACTGTCTGTTGAGTTTTCTGTTATCTCTGAAAGGCCTTGTGAACTTTTTAATACTCCTTGTTAAGCAAACCTTTAGGCCAACTTCAGGAGAAGAAGAGTAGATTCTCAAGCTCTTCGTAAAGGTAAAGCAATTGAAATTAGATATAACACCATGCAAAGTGCGTTTGAAAAATTAAAGCAAACTTCTAACTAATTATGTCTTCTCTGGTCACGTTTGGGGAAGAATAGAAGGGATGTATGCATTTGTGTGCATGTGGGTTCTGATTCAATGATATTCTGGGTCCCAAAGAAGAAATCTCCTAATAGTACGGTAGTAGCTGTTCAAGAAAGGAACAAAAAGCTGTCTTGGGAGATAGTGATTTCCCCCCCACTGGAGATGTATAGAACAGGCTGAATGATGTTCTGTCAGGAATATTGTGGTACAGGATTCTACATGGACGACAGGTTGGACAAGATGATCTCCAAGATCCCTTCTATGATATAGAGTAAAGTTAAACCCTATAGCAGCATCTTCTGACTTTTCTGCTGCTGAAGTCAGATATACCAACTATCTTTACACCAATGTGGCTTCTGGAGTCACATCTTTTTTAATTGAGAAAATAAGTATGATCCAAGCAGATCAGAATCTCCCTCTATCTCTTTCTTTGATGTATAAGCTTGTCCTTCTCAACACTGACTCTGTTCTGCAGATTAAAAACAGATAGAATTTATAAACAAGCAAAACAAAAAGGAAGGAAGAAACAAAGAAAGAAAAAGAAAGAAGGAAGGAAAGAAAGAAAAGGAAGAAAAGAAAGAGAAAGAAGGAAAGAGAGAGAGAGAGAGAGAGAGAGAGAGAAAGAAAGAAAGAAAGAAAGAAAGAAAGAA